GAGAACTGGTCTTTGGGTTCCCCATCTATTTAGTGCGACAGACCCCACAGACTGGGCACACAGTTCTCTGGACGGACATTTAACGAACGATCATTCGTGAACTCCTCACGAGAACCCTATTACCCCCTTTTACAGATCAGGAAACAAGGCACACGGCCAGTGAACATCAGGGCTGGAATTTAAATCCAAGCGATCTGGCTTCTTCAACTCTCTCCCTTTTAACCGTTCCGTAACAAACAACGCCTGCTTCGGGGGAGAGCGGACAGAATTAAGGAAATAAGAAATATGATCATCTGCCTTAGATACCCTGGGAAGAAACCTTCCGGTCTTAAAACGCCGTCACTGCCGTCTACTCACAAGTCTGACTACACTCCGAGATACACGAGTAAGCTACTCAAGCCCTTCGACCGTTAATAAGCCAGACTTAAAAAACATACGGCGAGTTCGCAAAGACCAGCCCTAACACCGCATACGGTAAGCGCCTCGCACACAGCCCGCAAAGCGGCAACTTCGCAGAGGTGCGCCGTGCTGCACACACGCGGCGCGGTTTCGGGGTGGACAACCACGGCGCTGCAGAAAACGTGCGACCATCACTCCACTGACGCGCAAGGACTAAAATGTCGTCTCTTGGAAAAGGGAAGTGTGAACGTTACGTGACCGTGATGCGCAGCGCAGGGGCCGTGCGGGGCAGGGGCCCCGCGCCCGCTCGCGAACAAGCAGACGCAAGCTGCCCTGGGTCACTCGAACCCAAGCAAGAAGGGGATGGCTCTCCCGGGACAACGGTCACAGACTCCTGAGCAGAAAGCATGACGCGGTCACTAAATGTGGTCTCCTCCGTCCCTGAGAGGACACATCATTTTGACTGGACGGCCGGTGGGGTGGGGGGGAACGGCCAAACCAGGTGTGAGAGGTCTTTCCTTTCTGCGTGTTTAACCCCAGCTGCGGGGAACCGCACACCAGGCTGAGTACAGTGTGGGCTCAAGGTTAACCTCCGACCACAGTCGAAGAAACAAGCGTGGTTTGTATCGCAAAGAACCGAACTCTGATTCTTCACAGAGAAAAGGGCTCTTCCCTAAAAACTAAGGTTGTTCTTGGGGCGCCTGGGGGGCTCAGTCGGTTAAGCGTCCGACTTCGACTCAGGTCATGATCTCACAGTTCACGGGTTCGAGTCCCGTGTCAGGCTCTGTGCTGACAGCCTGGAGCCTCCTTCACATTCTGTGTGTGTGTGTGTGTGTGTGTGTGTGTGTGTCTCTCTCTGCCTCTCTCCCACTCCCACTCACGCTCTCTCAAAAATAAATATTAAAAGAAGTAATGAAAAAGTACAGGTATTCTGAATGTAATGGATTTTTAGGACACTTACGAGACGCGCTGCGCGCTGAGGGGGCTGTGAAACAAAAGGTGGGCTGCAGACACGTTTGTCGCCCTGGGCAAACGACCCTGCGAACTCAGAGGTGGTTCCCGGAGCTCTGCCAGTCGACCACCCAGGACACTGTGATGAGGCGGGGGGGGGGGGGGGGCTCCTGAAGGGACCAGGTGACACGCCACATTACTTACAGGAGGCAGAGAGACCTGCCCCGTGATCTCGGGGGGACGCAGGCTCCCAGGGTCCTCTCCTGGCCCTTCTGGCTCCCCGGTCGGGTACGGCGGGGGCGGGTACGGGGGGTACTCCTCCAGGTACACCTCGAGCAGGTGCGGAGTCTCTGCTCTCGGTTCTTCCACACTATTCTGGAAACGTGGGCTGCCGTCTGGGACTCCTTCGGGCACACAGCCGAGGCCTGGTGAAGGAGCTGGAATGTCGCCGTTCTCCGCACCGGTGCTCCCCGCTTCCTCCGGGGACACCGATTCGGGAACCAGAGAGACCGTCTCCTTCTCTGGCTCCACATGTGAGTACGGATTCTGGATTTCTCCTGGGCCTTCGGAGTCGGCCGTGCCTGGAGTCGGCTTGGACGGATACGAGGGGACAGAGATGGTCTCCATGGCAGCGATGGTGGTCCTCTGGTACAAGAGTTTCTGGATATTTGGCCCATTGGGCCCCTCTGGCTCTGTAATGGAGCTCCGTTTTTTCAGCGGCCGTGGGGCGTTGGACAGTTTCTTCCGCAGGGCTTCTAAGTCAGCGTCGCTCTGGTTCCGGTAGGGATTGGACAAGAAAGGCAGCAATTTGGTCGGGCTGAGCGGTCGAGGAATTCTTTCGTTCTCGTGGTTCTCCTGAGCGGGCGCCACGGGCTCCGGGTCAGGTTCGGGACTGCCGGGCTCGCCCTGGCTGCTGGAATAGACGTTCTCCGGATGCTGCTGCTGGGTCTGGGAAGCAGCGAGCACAGGCTTGCCGTAGACTGATTGGAAAATGGAAACAAAGCCCCGATCAGTATTCGATAAAGCCGGCAGGTCACAGACCCAGCTGACGATGATTAAAACGTCTTTTAATTTTCCAGTCCTTACCCAGCACCCTGCACCACAACCAGTTTTTACACCCAGCGAAGGACAAAGCAAGGCTTCCATCGCAGCACAGTGAACTTCTGACAGAACGAAAACTCTCGTTGGCTGTAACACGCCATTATTTTATGTGCCGATAAGAAAATGCTGCCCTTGTAACCGTTAAGCAATCACTGGCTGTTGCACACAAACTTAAAATGCCAAACCATGAAAACAGCATAAAAGCAACGGGGGCCGGTAATCCTCTCCTGCGTCCAGATTAAAAGGAATCACGCACCACCCTCTCTTTCCCACTTTTCAAAAGCAAGCCCACGTGGAAAATCATATTTGGCTTCCTGAGTTCTCAAGAACCACTTCTATTTGCCCAAACCCTTCCCCTTATCGTTCTGATTAGGTCAGAGCTATCCAATTCCCGAATCACTGTGTCAGCAGGCCTCACTAAGGACGAGTCCGCTGTGGCACGTGCGGGACGTGTCTGTCGTCTGATCACTTTCGGGACACTTCAGGCCACAGATGCACGCTGATTTCACGACTAGAAAGCCAATTTCATTCAGTAAAAGAGAGTGAACGCTATTCTGGTTTTATAAACTAATGACTCTCAGAACCCAACAAATCAACAGACTGTGTATCTTGTTATGCTTTTGTGTTTAGCCAGCAGCTCTGTGCTCATCAGAACGGCTTGAAACAGCGGAAGGAGCGCTCTTCTGAAAAGCACGCAGGGGCAGCTATCCAGGCCTCCTCGCGCCAAGGGCATGTGTGCGGTCTGACCCGCAGCGAGGACGTGGCCCGGTGCGCGGGGACCGCCTGTGTGCGCCTCGCCCACCAGGAGCAGGGAACAAGTGCACGGGGTCGCCACCGTGCAAACAGCCATGTCCGCCATGGGTTCTAGTCATCTATCACCTACGCTCCCCAGCGCCTACTGCAGGGGGCTGACGTTTAACGGATGTTTCACCTGTTTAAGGTTCCTGAGAACGGAAGGCAAATTAAACAAAACCCCGAGAACAAAGCCATCTCGCTGTGTACCGAGAGAGGACAGCTCTGGGGAGGACATGACCACGTCACCCGCGGCCACCCACGCCGGGGAAAACCGGGCCCAGAAGCTCACCGCTTGAGAAGTGCGGGCCTCTGGAATGCGTCTTGGTCAACGCGCTCTGCACGGCCTGCTGGAAGTTCTTCCCGGGCGCCTGGTGCTGCGTGTACATGGAGTATATGGAGCTCGTGGCCACCGTCTGGGGCTTTCTGAAGGGTGGAGGAGGGGCGTCTTTGGAAGGCTGCGGAGTGAAGGGCCGGACGGCGGCCGCAGGGGGACTTTCTTGCTTACAAGCTGGAGCGAGGGCCGGGCCCTGGCCGACGGAAGGTGCGCCGGGGGACAGCAGACCCCGCTGCTGCCCTGCTGTTTTGGGTTTATTCCCCACGGATGCAGCCGCTGTTGATAACTGCTGAGGGTTTCCGTCCGGCTTAACGTCTGAGGGTGACGGACTCGTTTGCCCGAAATAAGGCAAATTAATCTGTTTTGGTTTTGACGGAACGGGAGGCGGTACTTTAGACACATTTTTATTTGCAGCCTGTAATACACACACGTACAAAGCCAGTCAAAACACTGCCTCAATGGGTCCGCGGGATGTCTAGACAACCTCATTTCGCCAATATAAGTCACGCTAAAGACACTAGCTCTACATTTTTAAATCACTAAAAAGTTTTAAATCTCTGAACTTAACCACATTAAATAAGGAAGCTCAGTAATGCAACACCATCCCTGCCCCGAATGACTCCTTGCTGCCACTTCCTACGTAGGAACCCTTGGGTGCCCGCTCGGAAACCTCAACTGCCACCTTATGTACTCGGCGGCCCCCAAACCGAACATCCTCTGCACTCATCAGGATGGACACAAACCAGGCCGCCGCCTCGGGCAACACGCCGTCCAAGGCCGCGGTTCTAACACACAAAACCGTCACAGACATAAACTCAGCTCCCGGTTTTGAAGAACCAAGGTAACTGAAGGACACAAATACGATTGTTCCTCAATGCACCCTCAGTTTTTTAGAGAATCACGCGAAACATGAACCAGCAGCAGGCAAAGCAGCCGCTCTCCAACACGGGGTGAGACCACAAAGACACTTAAGCCGCAGAATTTAAAATCCCCAAATTCTGTTCTGTTTTCTCATCTTGCAGATATATTTTGGTTTGTTTCCTGCTCTCCCTCGTACAATATTCTCTTGTACGGAACGAGCAGCGGGTGTTAACACTGAGCTATCCCAACGCACCTGAGCGTCCCGCAAGATGTCCTCACTGCTCTGGTTTTTCCTCAGACCCCCACAGGGGGCAGGGCCAGCCGACTGGTCCACCGAGTCCAACATTGAAAAGGGGCGAACTTTCTTCTCTTTCTCTCTCAGGGGAACCTCTCCACCGTCAACTGGAGACAGAAAAAAAAAAATCACATGGATATTCAAGCTGTTTGTAGTACAATTTCTTTTTCACACAGAAGTTTCTCTCTCTTCAAAGTCTTTGAAACTCTGTAGCCACTAAATGCTCTCTTATTTTTAAATTAAGTCGACTACAGAATAACCTAGATGCTGCCGTGCTGGTACTTTAATCCCCAGACAAAAGAAGGTGGTCTGGAAGTAAACACCGTCCCCGGTGCCAACACATGAGAAAACAAGCTAGAGACTAGAGTGCTGCGGACAGCACGTGCGAACCCCACCTCGGTCCCCACCTTGGTCCAGGGCCCGCCCAGAGCCGGTGGGTGCAGGCCCGGAGGGCTGGCTCACGGTGACGTCTGCACTTGGGGGGCTCCAGTCAGGGCTGAGTGGATGGATTTTAGAGCCTAGGATGCAGAAAAGCAAGACGGGTAAGCCGGCGCTGGAAAGACACTTGCAATGGCTCCTTGTGCCACAGGGTTTAATCTCTAAAAACAGCCTCAAGGGGCCCCTGGGTGGCTCAGTCGGTTGGGCGTCTGACTTTGGCTCGGGTCAGGATCTCACGGGTCCGTAAGTTTGAGCTCCACATCGGGCTCTGTGCTGCCAGCTCGGAGCCTGGAGCCTGCTTCAGATACTGTGTCTCCCCCTCTCTCTGCCCCTCCCCTGCTCAGGCTCTGTCTCTGTCTCTGTCTCTGTCTCTGTCTCTCTCTCTCTCTCAAAATAAACAAACATGACAAAAAACTTAAGATGTAACAATAAAATAAAACCAACTTCATATTTCAGACTTACAACAATCCCACTAAACTTCCTTAGAAAAATACTGGACTTTATAGTTCTAAATTAAATGTACTCGAACTCTTTAAAATTAATCACAGTAAACAGAAAATCTGCTGAAACAGCGAGGACACGCTACCCCTCGGTCACCATCGCACTGAGAAAACACTTTCCAACTTGGCGGCCCCAGGACTCCGGGTGTAGCTCACACACCAATGACGCACACACAACAAAAAAGGCAAAACTGTGGACATCGATCAGTCTTTCACAGATCGGCGCCCTCAGGTTCTCTCCCCACAGACAAGGAAGCATCAAGGCCACAGCTCTGTCCTCACAGAGGCAAAACTAAAGCAGTTCTTTCCACAGTAACACCTGGACCGGGCAGCTCTAGGGCAGCTCTAATGTTTCACACGTGGGCAAACAATAGTGACCGTGAAGCTGGCTGTCTCCCGCATGTGACAGCGGTCAGACGGAGCCGGCTGCTCCCTGCCTGCAGGGGTCTGAACGAGGCCTGTAAAGGTCGTCTTTACCCTGCTTTTCCTACAGCCCTCCCTCCATCTGCTCCTCCTGCCACGAGACTCCAGCCTGCACCTCCACACGCACCCGAGGACTGCACCGAACGCCAAGGTCACGGACACAAGGAGCCTCTGTCGGTTCACCGTAAGCTTCCAGTATGTTTACTTTTATCGCACAGACTGCTAGCAAGCAGATTCGCACGCACAAGCACGTGTGAACAGCGCACACACCTCTCAGCAGAACGCACTCACCACCCTGCCCTCTGAAAACACGGCACCACTGCCCACATACGAGGTTTTACGCAAAAAGAAAAGCTGTCAAGTTACAGAGATCAGATCAAAATCTCCTTATTAACAAGAAGGAATCGAGAACAATTTTCACTCCAAAACTAATACTACATTTTATTTCCCAGACAGAACCGTATCATTTAGGGTTAAGAAACTTATCACTGCACTAGCAAAAACCACAGGGAGGTTCTTAAAATTTGCACCCAAACGAGGGACAGGAAGACCTTTTGTAAAACCCCCAACCCAGGGGAAGGACAATGAGGCCAGGAGGGAGAGCCGCGGAGGGCCGGGGGGACCGAGTCACCTCTGGCCTGGGCGGCAGCCGCAGACCGCGTGCTGGGCAGCGTGTGTACTCTGAGCGCCCCCTCCGAAGCCTGCAGGGCCCCGGGGCCGTCAGGCAGAGCGGGCTTCACCACCAGTTCCGGCCTCGAGGGGACGCGGGGCATCGTGGACGATTGGATGTAGGGGCCTACCGCGGCCACGCGGCTGGGTGCCGGCAGCCCCTGCGGGGGCGGGGTTCCGTCAACCTTGGGAAGAGGCACAGGTCCTTCAGCGTGACGACCCAGACGGCACTGAACTCCGAGCAGGCCGGGACACCTCCCTCACGTCTACAGGCCCGTGCTTCTGTCCGCCAGGCAGGGAGCTGTGGCCCCGCTCCGCCCCGCCCCCGCCCCCCCCCCCCCCGCAACCCTGCAGGCGGCCAGCGCCCCACCTGCCCCACCTACCGGGGGGCCCTCCTTGTGCTGCAGCGCCGCCTTCTTCTTCCACAGCCGGTCCCGCAGCTCGTTCACGCGCTTGTCCATGACTGCCACCTCGGAATTGCGTTTGTTCAGACACTCCCGCTGCTGCTGCAGCTTGGCATTCTGCTCCTGATTCAATTTGTTTCGTAACTGCACGGGGGGGGGGGGGGGGGGGGGG